TTAAATGAAATGGTAAATGTGAGGTGCACTATGCAATGAAGAAACAGGTAAATAAGACACAGAGTTGCCTTAAAGAAATTCATAGTCTAGGGAAGGAGATTAACATTGTATCAAAAGTAGCTATGATCCCACAGAGTAAGTACTAATTAACAGTCTGCACAAAGAGCCATGGAGACAAAAGGCAAGTGAATAATCATGCTAAGCCTGTAGGGTGGGGATGTAGCACAGCAGTAAGTGCTTACCTATCACGAGCTAGGTCTTGAGTTCAATCCCCAACACTGCAATGCTGAAGAATTGACAGTTGCTGCCATCCTTGGGTGTGAATGGGTTTTACCAGATGGAGGAGGGCAGTAAGGATGAGGAGGAAGGTTACTGATTTCTCAGGTGTGTTTAAAAACAAACAAAAAACCACCAAACCAAACCAAACCAAACAAAAAAGCTTGATAAACTGCAAGAGAGTAGATGCACCAGCTTTCCTGAAATCTCCGAATCCTGTCTCTGTGGTAGGATCATGCTTTCCATTAAAAGAGGATTTATTAGCAGGTAGAAAAAAAATGAGTTTTTTCCTCCTCAAAGTTATCTGACAATCAGTGGCACCTGGATCCTTTCATTCAATAACTATTTAGTGTCTAATCATAATGTTCAGCAAATGATGCAATTCTGGGCTACTTGACAATATAGGTTCAGACACAGGTTATTTTCTGACCACTCACATTCTAATCTGGAATGTGTTGCTTATATTTGAGCTTCCAGGAAGGACTCCAAATAGAGAGGAATCACAGGGCCTCCACCTGGTATTTTATAGACTTGAGGACACTGTCTTTGCCACTATTGGCACATCTAGGATTAATTGACCCCTTGGGCTTGGTTCCTGCCTGTAACCCTGGACCCGTTTGTGGAAGAGGAGATGCTTAGATTTGGGAGTAAAGAAGCTTTCTCAAGTACTCCTTACCAAAGGGCCCTTTGAAAACTTTTCCCTTTGATGTATCCTGGGTTTTGAAAACTTTTATCTACTTATGATTTATTTATTAAGTCATTTTCCTAACTTATTAATCATAGTATGAAAGCAAATCAGTTGACAGAAAAAGCAGTAAGATAATCTTTTTGAAAGATATGGTTGATGTTTTTGTTACACTGTTTACGTTTCCCAGGTGAGTATATCATTTCTATTATGCATTTTGATATATTGGATACAGTTCAGGAACTGTTTCCAGTCCCTCTCCAGTGCTGTGAGGTTATGCATTGTAATTATTTGGACCAACTTTGTTTTGTACAGACTCATATTGAAGAATTGACGTTCTGGCTACATAAATGGGCCACGGCTAGGCCATTTACAAATAGAACTCTGATTCCCAATCTGCCATAACCAGTCCAGAAAACCAACCCATTTTCTAGAGCAACCAGTGCAGGAGGCAGCCTGCTCTAAGTCAAACCACCATCTCTAGTAATAAACCAGGATGCTAAGCAATAACCCCTGTGACAATAGGTTCCAAACAGATAGGATTTAATTAATGATGGCAACTTTAATTTTTGTCCCTGCTTCCAATGTAGGACCAACTGGAGAAAATCAAGTATGAACCCTTGAATGATAACACAGGATACCTTGCTTCTACTTACTCCTCCTGTAGCTTCCCCATGCTGACAGGGTCTGATCAGACCCTCCCTGAAGGTGTCCCTGTTTACTGCTACAAAGCTTTTCCACTCTCTTTGCCCTTGAGTCTCCTAAAAATTCATGGGCTGGCAGCTGACATCTTCAACATAGGAAGCTCCAAAGAGATATCCTCTGCTTCTTCTCATTGTGTAGTCCTTGTTCAGTTCCACAGGGCTGCAAGATGGGACTAATAATAACATCCAACATACAGGTTTATCATAAGGCTCAACTAAAATAACTCACATCCTTTAGTCCTTTGCTTTCATAGCACTTCACACGTGCATTTTATTGCTGTGCTCTTTTTACCAGCCCCAGATTCTCCAAAGAATGCAAGAGTTTCTTCTGCTTGCTTCTCTATTCCTACTCACCCTCCTGCTTCCTAGGGGCTGTGGCAGGTTTGCATCCCAGTGTGATTTCAATGAGAACAGCTTCCACATCTGCCCCAAATTCCCAACAAAGTGAGTGTTTTCTGAAAACAGAGAAAACTTGTTTCTGATTTTCTACAGGCTGACCATACCTGGGCCAGCCCACCCATCATTCATAGGCCTCTGGGAGTACCCAGGAACTCCAAATTTACTCAGAATGGAAGAGAGGTGCCTATTATTGTTCCCATGGTCTATTGGGCCAATTCCATTTCTACTTCAGATCCTTTGGCCATTTTTTTTTTATTGTTGGTGTCATTTTTTTTCTTAAAAATGAAAATAATTTCCATCTCCTGTTTTGGCATTTCCAGTTTTTAAATGCTGCCTCCATTTAGAACTCTCATTTGGATCTTTAATTTTTTTTCCCTGAAACTTTAGAGCAAGACGATTTCCCCTTGAGGCCCCAGAGTAAAATTAAATGTGAAATAAATTGTTATAGTTGATTGCCTTAGAGAAATTTTCAGTAATCCCCTGAGCGTTAGAGCTGAAAAGGACTTTTGAGATCATCTTGTCCCCTGCAATCCTCATTTTTTCACCAATGACCCCTTTTAATATCTTCTTCTCTGTGGATCACATAATTTTGGGGGGAAATTACCTGTTTGGGAAATAACACTTTCAAGTAAAAAGGTGATTTAGCTTTACATTTTTTAAAAATTCTGGTAAGACACAATTAACTGCCAATCAGAATTGCTAGTCACTATTGAGTAAACGGTGTTTCTACATGGAGTTAATATAATTCTCTCTAAAAGTGGAGAAACTTAACATTTTTTAGCATGATTAGGTATATTGCTCCTAAAGTTTGTATGCTTTTCTTTAGATCTGAAACATTCAGCATAGTTTCTGGCTCCTAACCGTCTTAGATTCCAGGATGGGAAGAATCAGTCTCATCTAGACCCCTCTTATTATAAAAATAAAAATAAGGACCAAAGAAATACCTTGACTTGTTCAAATTACTCATCTCTGAGATTAGGAATCTGCTTCTTTAAGTTCTATTCCTAAATTTCCCCATATAGCTTGAAGTTACATCTTATCTTTGGGCATTGATGTGTTGCTAGGTCCAGAGCCAGGGAACACTGCTGTTCTGGGCAGAGTCAAAATAGGAACTGGCACTCCTTTGGCTCTTCCCATGTGCTTTACACGCATTAGCATAGTTAATCCTCACAACTCCTGGATAAGGTAGGAACTGCCACTGTGCCCACTCTACAGAGAGACAAGCTGAAACAGAGATCAAGTAGTTTAAGTAGATTAGGTAGCTTTGGTCACACAGCTTGTAAGTGGCTGCAACAAAGCCAGGAAGATAAAACTAAACTAAAAGGAGAGACCAGAGTAGAGGAAAGGGACAGAGGTCGGGGGAGAAGGAAGAATTGGGATATGAAATTGACCAAATTGTGTTATGAGTATGTATGAATATGTAACAACAATGCATAATTCCACTATTATGCATAATTATTATGTACAAATAAAAATGAAAACAAGAAAAAATAAAAGACAGTTTTCTCTGAGATCACAACCAAACTCTACCATGTGATTCTATGAGACAGGTTGTAAGTGTCCGGTAAGAGCTCAGGGACATGGAAACCCTCCCCAACAGAAGTTAGGGTCAAGCAGGAAGTCAGTTGCATAAGCCATGTACCTTATTCAGTGTGGCTGGTGCTCCCATAGGCATATACCTGGGCAAAGGAGAGGAGTCCCCACTTGCACTTGGTGTGATGAGGCAGGAAGATTTC